ATTTTATTACCTGTTAACTCGCAACGACTTAAGCTTCGGTTGTCAACCTTAACTTCGGTTGAGAAATGGGAACCTGGAGCCTTGCTTCGCCGTTCCTTTCTCTAAGGCGCATTTCCTTGTACTCTGATAAAAGCATTAAAAGTATTACAATTGTGTTACGGGTATCATGCTTACTGCCACTCCACTTCTCGTGCAGACAGGATAACTGGCCGTTGTTTGTCGCCAGGCTATATATCAATAACAGGATGTCGCTGCTTCCTATAACCTAATTTTGAGGTGACAGTCGCGAATGGCCGTACTTGTATGGCAGGATGCAGGTGGGTCTAGGAGAGACAGGTGTATGGATAAATTGATTAAGAGTTATTTCGGTACAATAACTACGATGGTCTCCGCTCGACTCTCAAACAGGAAGAGTTAAATTTTGAAATTTATTACTGGATTATGAAGCACTTAGTCTGTCTCGCATCATTTTGCCAGAATAGCTGCTTTACAAGCCACACCCAGCTAGCCCCCAAGTGGTCAGAGCACGCAGTCACCCCAACATGGACAGTTGGTAGTGCAAGAAGGGAAGAATACTTTCTTTTACCTGGTCTATTAACAGTAAGGCACTCGACCAGTCAACATTTCAGTATGCCAAATCCCCTTATACCAAGTCAACTGCTGAGCCCCGTCTCAAGAGCTACGACCATATGAGCATTGAGGTCAACGGTTATCAATTACTTTAATGCCGGACCAGCATGATGGGTTCTGCTGCCGTCACGCCGAAACGCCAGTCAGTTGAGAGGCGGGACCAAACAGCCGAAGCTCAACCCTCGCAAATACAATTAGGCGAGTACTTACAGACGGTTCAGGAAATAATTGCACAAAATAATGCCCGTGAAAGTCCAGGTGAGGCTGAAGGAATCACAACATACTGACGATAGAGGACAAATGAACCAATATTAAATTCCTGTCGTTCCCCGCGTGGCTTCTCCCTGTATAAATACCTCCAGAGTTTGGAAGCACTGGTTGCTGGCTTCATATCTCGCTCTCGCGATTTAACCGTCAAATTTTATGTAGTTCTTACTTACGTAAGAACGTAGGCAACCATTCTGTCCCCTCGAGACTAGTTCTCATTGGTCGGAGAAGGCGTCAATATTACGGTGCTGTTAATTTCACTAAAGCACCAGAATTTTTACACAATGGACGATAGCATCAATATTGTCAGTTTCCCTATTGGCCCTTGTGTGTAGGTGTACACTGTCCTCCCCAGCCTGGCCCTTGTGTGGTGGTGATGTACACTGTCCTCCCCAGCCTGGCCCTTGTGTGGTGGTGATGTACACTGTCCTCCCCAGCCTGGCCCTTGTGTGGTGGTTGTGTACACTGTCCTCCCCAGCCTGGCCCTTGTGTGGTGGTGGTGTACACTGTCCTCCCCAGCCTGGCCCTTGTGTGTGGTGGTGTACACTGTCCTCCCCAGCCTGGCCCTTGTGTGGTGGTGATGTACACTGTCCTCCCCAGCCTGGCCCTTGTGTGGTGGTGATGTACACTGTCCTCCCCAGCCTGGCCCTTGTGTGGTGGTTGTGTACACTGTCCTCCCCAGCCTGGCCCTTGTGTGGTGGTGTACACTGTCCTCCCCAGCCTGGCCCTTGTGTGGTGGTGGTGTACACTGTCCTCCCCAGCCTGGCCCTTGTGTGTAGGTGTACACTGTCCTCCCCAGCCTGGCCCTTGTGTGTAGGTGTACACTGTCCTCCCCAGCCTGGCCCTTGTGTGTAGGTGTACACTGTCCTCCCCAGCCTGGCCCTTGTGTGTGGTGGTGTACACTGTCCTCCCCAGCCTGGCCCTTGTGTGGTGGTGATGTACACTGTCCTCCCCAGCCTGGCCCTTGTGTGGTGGTGATGTACACTGTCCTCCCCAGCCTGGCCCTTGTGTGGTGGTTGTGTACACTGTCCTCCCCAGCCTGGCCCTTGTGTGGTGGTGGTGTACACTGTCCTCCCCAGCCTGGCCCTTGTGTGTAGTGGTGTACACGGTCCTCCCCAGCCTGGCCCTTGTGTGTAGTGGTGTACACGGTCCTCCCCAGCCTGGCCCTTGTGTGGTGGTGATGTACTGGGCCCCTCACTTACCCCGTGGCATTCAGTACAACATTAACACACTCACCACGTGTGTCACTTGAGTAACACGATGCCAAAAAAATGAGTATAGGAGGTCGGTGGTAATAACAAGTAGCAATTAAAACAAGGAAAACGAGCACAAGAGACACGAAAACAAAGAAACAATGAAAACCGAGGCGCAGGTTAGGAGGTGGAGTGAAAATATAATAAATAATTAAGGAAGCGATTATCACTAAAAGACCTGCAGAGAATATGAAGCTGAACCAAGATTTGTTTTTCTTTTCATTTGTAAATGTACTTTTAATTCAAAATATTTTTATTTCTTAACTGCTGACAAAATAAATCATTTATTATTATATGATAGGTATATATGACAGGTAATATTACCTGTATTACGAAAAACTATTGTGGAATATTCAAATTCCCCTCTGTCTCTCTCTCTCGTTCGTTCTCTCTCTCTCAAATAGAATAGGGTGGACGATAGTGATTGCTGTAAATTACTTGAAATGATTTCGAGGTGCTGCGTGGGAGGGTTTGAGAATATTATCGACACCAAACCAGCAGCGAGAACAACCCCCAACACCTCCAAACGTTAAGCCGGAAGACACGTCGTGTTATATGATGTATGCCCAAGTGAAGAGAGTGAGTGAGGTGCTGACACACAGGATACGAACCGGACAACGATGACTTCCCGAAGCGTCGACCTGGGGGCAGCACCACCACCACCTCCTCCCACAAGCTCACCACTCTCATATCATGCACGAGTTGTAATTCTCCAGTGAATCAGTAGTGGGTTTTTTTAATAACTTTGTTCCAATGCCAGTGACTTTCCCCTCATCATTGTGGAAGAATAAGCTGGGAAAGGAGAAATGACGAACCCAAAACAAATATTAAAAACACTGAAAGGGAATAAAATCGTCTTGTAGACAAGTGGGTGAGTCCTGTAGTCTACATTCTTGGCTAACAACCGAAGGGACCCGGGTTTAATCCCCGGGCAGGGCAGAAACGGCTGGGCAAGTTTCCTTACTTCTGATGCAGCTATTCATCTAGCAGCAAAAAATGGCATACTGTATCTGGGAATTAGTCAACTGCTATAAAAAGGTCAGCAAATGACCTCAGACAATGAAAATTATTTAATAAAGGTTTCCAAAAGACGTTACTGATTTGGATCGACTGAGAGAAAGGTATTCAATTACTTCCTCGGTACTACAGACCGGCAATATATCTTCCATACCTGTGTGCGCTGTAGACTGACAATATTACACCTTTCATAATAGTAATCATACCAAACAATTTGCATTAAACTGAATTTCAACGGCAAATAATCTTCCCATGTAATACAATGTGTATACACTACACTGCGTCACTCCATCATATAATATGCACACATGTAAAAATATTGCTGGGAAGCAATGATGCCTGGAGATGTGGCGAGCAAAGCTGGTAGAGTCAACCGACATAAATGTCCTACCAAATGTTAGGAATGGAAAATTACCATTCCGAAAAGTAGCCCGTCCTTCTGAGTTACCACAATGGACAAAAACCTGTGCACTAAAACGCATGAACCTAACTATTGCTGCCGTTATGACGGTAGTGGCTGCATTACTCTGGCTCCTTGCCCCCTACTCAGGTACTTGCCTGTATGTATCATGAGCTACAAGATCAAAATGCACTTCCAGGGGCCCATCAGTACACCCGGAGTGATGATGGCAGCAGCGGCGATAAACTCCTTTTCTCCTCCCCTTTTCCACCCAAGAAGCTGATTCAACCCTTGTTTTGCCAAGAAGCAAAATACATAACCTTAAGCCAAATTGATGCTTACAAATCAACACATTTTGCATTAAAGTCACGAGACCCCCAACATCTTCAGCACTGCTCAGATACAAGCTATTTTGTTCTTTATCACGATGTCTATATATACCTGCATCCCCCCCCCCATCCAAATATCAAACACGCCCATCACCAAGAAAGAAATTGAAAATCTTGCTCTGCTAAAAGTAGTCACCGTGAAACAATTGCCTTCTCTATCAAAAACGTAAGGTCTCACGAGGCGGATGTCTACAACGATGGCTCAGTCCAATCAACAGAACCTATTACAGTAGCCTGAAGGTTTTATAGAAATAATTGCTCACACACTATCAGTTTCAGGTTAAACAACTGGCTGAACTCCCCACACACACAGAGGACTAGATGTACTACAATTAACTATCAGTACACAGGAAGAGGAGTAATTTTGTGTGATTCAAAGTTTGATTTTCAAGCACTTGAAAATTTCCTCTACAAGATCGACAGCAAGAACTTCATAATAGCAATTATAAATAATATGTTTGCTGAACAGAACAATCCTCTTGAATGAATACCATCTCACTCTAATGTAACTCATCATGTCACTCTAATGTAACTCATCATGTCACTCTAATGTAGCTCATCATGTCACTCTAATGTAACTCATCATGTCACTCTAATGTAACTCATCATGATGACAAATAGCAGCCAAATTAACAGGCAAAAATTATGAAACCGAGTCAGACCTGAGTATCCCCCCATCTATATTAAGACTTCATTGCTCCAAACATTCAGTTCTGATAAAAAATTCGACTCTTTGGCCCATGAGTTCCAGTATAAAATTTCATATGGGCGGCGCGGCACAAAACGTATAAAATCAGTTCGATATTGTGGTCGCCAGGATCAGGTTGGGATACCAGTACCTGTGGCAGGTGGCGACAGGTAACGAGTCTCCAAATCCTGAGCACTCCAGGTGAGCAAGAACTGGGTTATGATATCTCACACTATTATTGAATGTCCTGTCATTAGACCCTTCAGACCCGACGGTACGAGGTAACTGGAACTTGGCAATTACCTTATTCACTCAAATTCCACAAAAAAGCTTTGAAAACTGTGTGTACATCATACCTGAGAACTTCCTCTGAGGATGATGTCCCGATCTGGAATTCTGAAAAAAAAAGAAAAACGTGCCTGAAAAAAAGGAGAAAAAGTATTAAGAAAAAGTCAAGCAATATCCAAAAATAGTTAAGAAGTGAGGGGCCGAAACTGAACCAAAATACCGATCAAACTAAACCTCAAAATAACAAGGAAGAGGAAGAACAGAGGTCAAACAATATATATATATATATAAAATATTGAGAAGAACCTACAAAATAACGATGCAGCAGTTGTCTAAATGAGAACTACGAGACAAATGAAAACTGTTGAGGTTCCAGTTTTAAACAATATTAGATCATATTTTCTGCGAGAAAGTGTTGAGTGGAGCAGTGTCAAGTGGAACTGTCACAAAGACGTGCCGTGCTTCACTGTAATTATTACCTTCAGTACCATCAGAGCTCAGGACAATGAATATATACTTACGTTACACTGAGGGAGAATAGACTTGAAGTCAAGACTGGTATATGGGTACACTCGCTGTAATCTGTATATATTAACTACTATGCTGCACATTTGACAAGATTTTGATGTTAAGACGTGGACGCAAACAAAAACAACTGTTCACACCTGGGGTGAATTTTTTGTGGGCCATTTAATGTATACAATGCAGCACTGAAATATTGGGAGAATATTTTATAAAATGTACCGTGATGGGGAATGAGTTGTATTCGGGAACACATTGACTCTCTATTTTGATTTATTTTTTTTGTGGGGGGGGGGATTCGAAAGGAAGGGGTCGGGGGGGGGGGGGGGGTTACGTGCGGAGGGAGTGGGGGGTATGAGGATGGAGGAGGAAGTCGGGGGATGTGGGCGGAGGAAGAAGGGGGGGGTGGGGGATGTGGGCGGAGGAAGGGGGGTGGGGGATGTGGGCGGAGGAAGGGGGGGTGGGGGATGTGGGCGGAGGAAGGGGGGGGTGGGGGATGTGGGCGGAGGAAGGGGGGGGTGGGGGATGTGGGCGGAGGAAGGGGGGTGGGGGATGTGGGCGGAGGAAGGGGGGGGGGGGGTGGGGGATGTGGGCGGAGGAAGGGGGAATGGGGGCAGAGGAGAGGGGGTGGTGTTGCGGAGGGGGGGATGTGGACTCGAATCCTGGTCGGGTCATTTAGCGTTATAGTGATTAATTATTATATATATGATATATATATATATATATATATATATATATATATATATATATATATATATATATATATATATATATATATATATATATATATATATATATATATATATATATATATATATATATATATATATATATATATATATATATATATATATATATATAATGTATGCATATATAATACACATAACCACACACACGCAAAATGTTCAAGAACACGTGACCTCAAAAGGCAAGAAAAAAACCACAATTGAATAGGAATATTAGTATTTTCGTTCCGACGAGGCTCCTCACAGTAAGAACTATCATTATTGGTCAATTTCACTATAGTTTTCTTTTTTAGCATTACATTCTAAGTCGTACTAATATCCAAAGTTGCCCAATACACTGAATTTTCCTGGAATATCTAATTTAAAATATTTTTCTTATAAAATGATAGTAATATAAGAAACAATTTTTATTTACCCAAGGCTACCAAGTTTGACAAAACCTAACCAAACCTACTTAACGAAGTCAGTAATTCATATTCCTAATAATATATCATTATTAAGAATGAATCACTTTATAAAGAAATATTTCAAAATTACGAAAATCGCTCTGCTTGTTAAGGAAATCGATTTTTGCTTACTAGTTGGGAGGTTCTGGATATTAGATACGAACCCCCACTCTCACAACGAAGGATGTAACCTTCAATCTAAGTACATAGGTATGACGTCGACCAAGCTGACGAGGCGTCTGACATGCCATCTTCAATCCGGTGCCCCCAGGAATCACATGAGACAAGCCCATGACATCACCCTAACAAGAGAAATGTTGAACAAAAATACCTGTATAATAGACAAAACCCAAGATGCAAGAAGATTACAAATTCTTGAAGCAATTCAGATAAGAATAGAACAACCTACCATGAACACCCAAATCACGGAACTATTTACTCTACCCACCATGAGAGTAAGGACAAGACCAGAACATAACGATGCCAACATAGAAGACACTGTTCAACATAACAGGCCAATTACACCTGATAAATTTTTGTATGTAGATAGGAGCTGCCTCGTAGGGCCAATAGGCCTTCCGCAGTTACCTTTATTCTTATGTTATGTGCTTCATCTCCCATTTATCTCTTATGTATGCCCCATGTTTTTACCTTTATTGTCTTATCACCTGACCCAGTGCGGGTATAAATCAACCAGCTCTAAAAATTCTTTTCACCTGAGAATGAACCATGGAGGTTCGAAACGTTGTGCAAATTGTATAAATAAGTGTAATACATTCTATAGTAATTCACTTTTTTCTTCACCTTGAAATTACGAAAATGAGTTTTGGAGAACTCCTCTTTCAGCTAATCCCTGATGCTAAGAAAATAGAGGGATAGAAGCCCTAAATCAGAAGATAGTAAATACAGAATATGTGGTCATATTCAATGAGACATATTATATTATATATATATATATATATATATATATATATATATATATATATATATATATATATATATATATATATATATATATATATATATATGGCCTTGAATATTAAGTATTTTCCATCAACAAATACCTTAAACGTATCGCTTACCAAACACGATAAAGAAAACCCGAACAAAAACAAAATAAGAAAAGACAAGAAATAATAAGAGCAAAAGACATGGAAATGGTGAGTGATCTGAGCAAATTGCTACTAATTTACAGGAAGCGGCTCGTGTGTGTGTTCCATGCACGTCTCATGACCACTCCAGACCTGCGAACGGCTTGACCGGGAATCACTGACTGTCACCGACAGCCACGCAGGAAAACAACGTTAAACTAATTCTCAGGAGCCACGTTTGTCATTCTTAACACATACGGAAAGAACTCAGATTCATAACTAACATAGGCTGTAATTTTCTGTCCGAATTATACCTTGGAGCAGCTACCTGCCTCCATCCCAGGAGAGTAAATGACCGCGGGAAATATATCGCAGCAAAGACCATGGTAAATATATCGCAGCAAAGACCATGGGAAATATATCGCAGCAAAGACCATGGGAAATATATCGCAGCAAAGACCATGGTAAATATATCGCAGCAAAGACCATGGGAAATATATCGCAGCAAAGACCATGGGAAATATATCGCAGCAAAGACCATGGTAAATATATCGCAGTGAAAACTACAGTAAATATATAGCGGTAAAGACTACGCTAAATATACACAGCCAAAGCACACTTCTCTGTTATATAGATTATGCGTGGACACTCACGAGAGTTCAGGTACATCAACCTCTTCAGATCCAGCCTTCCCGGTTGATTACCTACTCTGCAGGGCTGAATGTCTTCGTAGCCCGAGGGCCCACACCACACTGAGGCTGATGCGGAACCTCCAACATCAACGGTTTAAGTTCCTCTTTGAAAGCTCACACTGTTTTTTAAATTAAAATTTTCTTATCCTTTTTTTGGGGGCACGAGATTGAAAAGCGGTGCGGAGAAGGTCGGGCACGATGAGACGGACAATTCTAGGGTCCCACTATAGAAATCGTTGATGTTTATACCGTCATCACTATTTGTTCTCGTGGTATCCCTACTTATCATTTAAGTTATTTACACTTTGGACGAAGCTTCGCACCAAAGGCTGAATGATGTTTGCTTTACTGAAACACTTCAATCTGTTTATTAGAAAATATAAAATGAATTTACCTACTTTCCCTGTTATTCGCTTAGCTTTCATTATTCCAAGGACACTTGGTCACATACTTGGGTTAGACTAATATTTTCATACATGAATTCAATATAATCAATTAAGTTCAATACGACGAGTATTGTTAAATTCGCAAAAAAACACATGCTGGTAAAATACAATCCAAGTTCCTAAACTTTACCTTCAAAATTATACAAATCACAATTGATAATTATATGATCCCAAGGCACGAGAGATTCGTGTTCACGACTACCAAACTAAAGCAGTCCACGCAAAAATCCTCCTTAATTCATGACGGCTGAGAAATAATTCATGCACTGCCATGATTTCAGTGTACTCCAGTGTTCCTCTCGAGTACAAGATGTATATTTATTTTAGTGCACATGTACATACATCAGGTTTTCAAATCTTTCACATGGGGATATACACAGTATGCACGTGACGTCCATTCAACGTGCAACCCTGACCCGGGAAGTCATTAGTAGCCTTAACATAATAAGCATCACTTAATAAATGATTGGAAAGACGCTGTGTGTGTGTGTGTGTGTGTGTGTGTGTGTGTGTGTGTGTGTGTGTGTGTGTGTGTGTGTGTGTGTGTGTGTGTGTGTGTGTGTGAGAAAAAGATACAAAAAAATTGTTGATTGACAGGTGAGAGGCAGTCCCAAAGAGCCAGATCTCAACCCCCGCAAGTACAACTAGGTGAACACACACACACACACACACACACACACACACACACACACACACACACACACACACACACACACAAATGAGCCCAAATGAGCCACAGAGATATTAGAAAGAACTTTTTTAGTGTCAGAGTGGTTGACAAATGGAATGCATTAGGAAGTGATGTGGTGGAGGCTGACTCCATACACAGTTTCAAGTGTAGATATGACAGAGCCCGATAGGCTCATGAATCTGTACACCTGTTGATTGACGGTTGAGAGGCGGGACCAAAGAGCCAGAGCTCAACCCCCGCAAACACAACTAGGTGAGTAACTAGGTGAGTACACACACAGGAAGAAGGGGAAAATGAGAGGAAGGAAGAATGAGAGGGGGAGAGACAGACACAGCAGCACCGCCAGGTACACCATCTACTTGAATTATAAGCAAATCATTAACTGGGTTAAAACACACACACTACGCTTCTCCGGCAGGTCCCTCGGACATAATAGCGAGAAGCAGCATACCCCGACATGCCCCTCAAGGACGG